CTGTGTCTCTCGGTGTCTCTCTGTGCCTCTCTGTGTCTCTCTGTGTCTCTCTGTGTCTCTCTGTGTCTCTCTCTCTCTCTTTCTTTCTTTCTTTCTTTCTTTCTTTCTCTCTCTCTCTCTTTCTTTCTTTCTTTCTTTCTTTCTTTCTTTCTTTCTTTCCTTCTTTCCTTTCTTTCTTTCTTTCTTTCCTTCTTTCCTTTCTTTCTTTCTTTCTTTCTCTCTCTCTCTCTCTGTCAGTGTGTCTCTGTGTCTCTGTGTCTCTCTCTCTCTCTCTCTGTCTGTCTGTCTCTGTCTCTCTGTCTGTCTGTCTGCCTGCCTGGCTGCCTGGCTGGCTGACATGCATTCTTGAAAGATAGCGGATGCAGGACAAAACGTGTCTTGGAAGATGGATGGGGAAGGTCTGCCGCGCGACGGAGCACGCTCGGCTCAGTCGGGTTTATGGTCCGATCGGCTCCGCTGTGGAACTGCCAGTTCAGGCTTCATTTGCACAACTTGAACTCTCAAGATTTGAGGGAAGTCTTGCACGAAAGCTTTGTTCTCACATCTTCCGCTTTCGCTTTTTGAGGGAAATGTGTTTTTGAGAGATAACGGATGCGCGAAATGCTGTGCTTTGCCGGACAAAACGTGTCTCGGAAGATGGATGGGGAATGTCTGCCGCGCGAGGGTTGCGGAACACGCTCGCCTCAACCGGGATCATGGTCGGATCGGCCCCGCAGCGGAACTGCCAGTTCAGGCTTCATTTGCACAACTTGAACTTTCAAAATTTGAGGGAGGTCTCGCACGAACGCTTCGCTTTCACATCTTTCACTTTCACTTTTTGAGGGAGGTCTCGCACGAAAGCTTCGCTTTCACATCTTCCACTTTCAGATTTTGAGGGACGTCTAGCACGAAAGCTTCATTTTCACATCTTCCACTTTCATTTTTTGAGGGAGGTCTCGCACGAAAGCTTCGCTTTCACATCTTACACTCACTTTTTGAGGAAGGTCTCGCAGGAAAGCTTCGTTTTCACATCTTCCACTTTCACTTTTTGAGGGAGGTCTTGTGCGTCAAGGTTGCTTGGGACCGCGGCTGCGTGCGTAATTCTATTGTCTTTTGCAGCTGAATATTGTAAATCCTACTGTAATGGTTGCTGCATCAAGGTTGCGATTGTAATTTGCTAGCAGATTTTCTCAGGTTTGGCGCTGGTGATTTTGCTTTTAAATTCCTTCTAAAAAGTGCTTCAAAATCGTTTCTTTTGCTTTGGCGCCGAGATCTGCTTTTGGAGCTGTAACTTCTGATGCTGTTGCACGTCGTTCTATTGTCTCTTGCAACTCAATCTCTGCAGATCGCACTGCAATGTCTGCGTCAAGGTTGCTTGGTGCCGCGGCTGCGTGCGTAATACTATTGTCTTTGGCAGCTGGACATCGTAAATCGTATTGGAGTGGCTGCATCAAGGTTGCGATGGTGACTTGTCAGTAGATTTTCGGAATTTTGGCGCTGGCGATTTTCCTTTTAAAATTCCTTTTAGGAAATGCTTCAAAATCTTTTCTTTTTTGGCTTTGGCGCCGAGATCCAGCTTTCGAGCTGCAATTTCTGATGCCATTGCACGTGTAAAAGCTTGCTGTGTGTAAAAGCTTGCTGTGTGTAAAAAGCTTGCTCTGTGTAAAAGCTTGTTGCGAGTAAAAGCTTCCCTGTCTCTGTGTAAAAGCTTCCCTGTCTATGTGTAAAAGCTTCTGTGTGTACAAGCTTCTCTGGGCAAAAGCTTGCTGTGTGTAAAGGTTCTCTGTGTCAAATCTTCCCTGTGGAAAGCGTAGGCGTCGCTTGCTTTGGCACCGAGATCCTCGTTTGGAACAGGTTTTGGGCCAGAGAAGAGCTGAGATGATTTGAGAGTGCGCTGAGAAGAGCTGAGATGAGGTGAGACGAGCTGACAAGAGCTGAGATCAGCTGAGGAGATGTGAGAAGAGCTTTGAAGATGTGAGAAGAGGAGAGAAGAGATGAGAAGACATAAGATGAGCTGACATGCGCCGCAGGGAGCTGAGAAGAGTTGAGAAGAGCTGTCAAGAGTCAAGACACGCTGAGATAAGCTCAGACGAGATGAGAAGAGCTCAGGTGACATGAGAAGAGAAGAGAACAGTTGTGACCAGCTGAGAAGAGCTGAGCAAGGGAGGGAAGACATGCGATGGGATGAGATGAAATGAGGTGAAACAAGCTGAGAAGACGTGAGATGAGTTGAGTTGAGATGAAATGGGATGGCGCAGGCTGCGGCGACCATGGGATGCAATGAGTAATTTCCAAGAGAAGCTGCAACGCGATGAGATCAGATGTGATGAGAAAAGATTCAGCATTCAAAAGACATGGCACCAGATTCACAAGTCAAGAGCTTGCTGCTGCGAAGCACAGAATGCTTGGCTGCAACCTATAGGCGCAGTCTTTGCTCCGCTCTATAGGCTATAAGCATTTCAAACTTGAAACTTCCGCCACGGGCTTGCCTGGGAACTACTTGTAACCGTGTTATTTTGTTCCCACATGTTCCCTAAAAAGCATCCAACCAGGATTGACAAAGATTGGAAAATAATAACAGATAGGAAAAGATAGAAAAGGCATGAAAAGGCACCTCTTTTGTGCCCTTTTCAACCGTTTTTGGCCCAACAATACTTGAAAATAGGCCACTGAAGGCCTTCTAAAATCTAGTTGATTTTTTCCAGAAAATTGAAGGCACCAGGCCAGAATGCAAAAGTATACCCCGCTAGAAAATTTATGTACCCAGGGCGCCCCATGATCAAACACCAATATCTTAAAGCACCAGAAAATCAAACCGCCCAGGGTCTCTAGAAAATCAATAAAAACACTTTTGGGCACACAACAAAGCCAAACACCACCTAAAAATACCTACAGTAAAATGTGTACAAAAATCCACCCACCGATTTCCTAGTCCTAGGGGAAACTTCAAGGGATTCTCTATCTAATCTAATGTAGGCTAGGCTGAGCTAAGCTAACACTAATCTGTCTATCTATCTGTCTGTCTGTCTATCTACCTATCTATCTATCTATCTATCTATCTATCTATCTGTCTCTCTGTCTATCTATCTGTCTGTCTGTCTGTCTATCTGTCTATCTATGTGTGTAACCGTGTCTGTGCATGTGCAGCAGGACCTGCCAGACACGGCGCCGCAGTGTGGGATGGGCGCAGGTGCGTTGTACTGCACTGGCAAACAGCAATGACCAGCAAAGACCATAGCAGGGCCCTGGGAAGTTTAAAGTGTGACAAAATTGCCTTTCAAGCCACTTGGAGGTGCGATCAATGAGCCGCTCTGCGCTCGCAGGATCCATGCCCCGTTTCACCAAAAATTCCACATCCACATGCACGTCTTTTTCTGCACGGGCCAAATCCTCTCAAGCATAGAACCAGTATCTGCGCAGCAGCTGCGAATGCCCTACAATAAAACGGTTATGTCAAGGAAAGTCAGCATAGAAGAACTTTTTAATTGGGTGGCGCATGGCGAGAAAACCTTTGACATTGTGAAAACAAAACTGCCTCATGAAAAGATGCATGGGCAGAATGCAGTCCTCCCTTGTGCAAAGGCGTCTATCAGTCTTCATCTGCATCAATTTCCTGAGCGCAAATGTTTCATGCGAACGACGGAGTCCAGTGACGTCGACCGGTCGGCAGTCTGAGAGCCAAGGACAAGCGGCGTGTTGGATGCCTGAACTTGACATAATAATGTGATATAGTGATATAGCACAATTAGCTCAACTAGCTGCAGAAGTTACGTCGTAATTGCTTCCAAAATCATTGAAATACCTTGTGTGTTTGTCAGTGTCATGGAACGATGATAAGAAAGACCCTTCATGTGTTTGTGTGTTTACTCCGCATTTCTGCGGCTTTCATGAAGGTCTTACGCAACCCTCGGTCGCAGTACCACTAGGTATCATGCACCTACTTGAAGCTTCATTCAGTGTTGGCATCAAGGGCGCGAAGAATACACAGGAAACATCAAACAATCTATACGCAGCAGCTATAGCTTCAGGAGCCATCTCTTGATCATGAAATTCAGCGGGAGGGCGCTCATAGCAGCGTATCATGATATTCTAGATTCTAGTTTGCGTGCACCATAATCATTCCACAACCCTCCCCCTGACATCGTAGCATACCAGCGTCAACATTACGCTCCTCGCACTCTATTTGCCAAAAACAAAGTGCCCCAACTGAACGCGCTTCGGTTGAGCCACTTTGCAACCATCTGATCGAACCTCTTTCCCTCGGCCTTTCCTTCCCTGTTCCTGTCCGTGACATATCATATGATGATGATGAAGAAGAAGAAAAAGAATATATCTGCGTACCTCTATCTGCGTAGCTACATATCGATATATCAAAAGTCTATATGTATAGCATATGTATATACATATCCATTTCACCAAAAAAAAGTCTTAGAATCTGGGTAACTTAGGTGCATACATCCCCTTGGGAATCTTAAGATGCGCATCCTCCATTCCTCGCCAAGACTGGGTCATGTTTCCATGCAAACCTCTTCGGGAAATGGTTTGCAAGACTCCAAGCGGCTGTTCTCTCATTACATTACATTGCATTACATTGCATTACATTGCGTTACACTGCATTACATTAGATTGGAGTAGATTTGATTAGATTATATACATTACATTGGGATACATTTCATTAAATTAGATTGGATTGCATTAGGCTAGATTCCTTTACATGAGATTACTTTAGAATACATTAGATTACTTTAGAATAAATTAGATTAGATTAGGTAGATTAGGTTAGATTGCACTAAAGTCCATTAAATTACATTGCATCGCATCGCATTGCATTACATTGCAATGCGCTACATGGCATTACATCCGCAACACTCACGGTGAATATCATCTTGTATATGGGGTATCCATATATGTGCGCGCCACCTTCACAAAACTATCGGGCCCCGTGTTATAGGTGCTGGTTAGTAGCTTATCCTGCAGCCACGGGTTCTCCTGTTCTTTTCCTTTTCTCTTTTGTCTTTTTTCATCTTGTTTCTCCATCCGTCTGATGGAAAGCTGCTGCTGCTGAGGTGTAGTTCGACATGAACTGCATATCGCTGCGGAAAAAAATATGTGCGCGTGGGCATGCGAACGAGTGGTCACAGATGAAACCCAGCGGGGTGGACGCAGCGGGGTTTGAGCCCGAGGGGGGGGGGGGTCACAGTTTGACATGATTAATCATATCCAACAAGCGGGGGGCCAAAACCAGTTCGAAGTGAAAGATCATGGAAGCCCCCAATTCATTGCGCTAGCAAGCTAGCTTTCGCGATAAACCAACTAGAATTGCATGAGGTTCGAGTAAGGCTATGGGTTTGCAGGCATTCTTCTGCCACTTCTAAGTAGGCAGCTCTGGTACCACTTAAAGTAATGTGCAGCAAACCGCATGTTTGTATTTCCAAAATGCTTCAATGGATTTGATCAAGTTGCTTCACATGCGCTGGGTCCAAGTCCTTTGCCAGCATTTTCAACAAGTCATCATCTGGCACACTCTTCATCGAGCCCTCATAGGACCGTTGGTGCCAAATGTTCTTCATCACCTTGTTCCATGGGCTGTGCAATTCATGTGCTTCAAGGCGCGCTTCAAAGCAGTGCTGGAACTACAAGATGCCGCGGAAAACTGGAAAGCCATGAAAAAATCTAAGAGCGCGGTAAAGTACAGGGTAACAAACAACAACATGCTATATACACTTCACGAGCTTAGTTCACACAAACAGCTTCAAGCAGCCTGACCAAAAGCCAGAGCAAAATTCTTGTGTGATGAAAGGTGAAGCGGTGAAGAAGCCTCCAACCGTGAATCAACCTTTCAACAAGGTCCAAGATCTCCAATTCTGTCCTGAAAAGCGGCAGTTAAAGTTGCTAGTCGTTGCTTGCTGTGCTGTGTTTCAGCTAAGGCGCTGCCAGGATTTGCCGAGGCAACCCAATGCCTGGCTCGCCCAAAGCTTGACGAACCTCTAGAAAAAGCTGCAGCACCGCTGCCGTCAGCACCTGGCCCCAAGTTTTTCTCTTGGTACCCTGTGCCAGTCCTGTGCCCTCCTCATCTCACATTTGCAAACTTTTTGTGCAAATAATACATGTAAGGTGTACATGTATCTACATGTCTATACGACACGATTTGAAATGAACACGGTTTCAATAAATACGCATGCCGCATGCTATATACTCCTCTTCTCCTTCGATTGCTTGCCACCATCAGCCAATACTTCCCTCGCCTAACTATATAACAACATGGTGATAAAAATAAAAATTACAAAACCTATATTGAAGGGTTCTAATCTGCGGAGGAAAGGACTGATCAAAGTGCTGCTAGAATAGTCAGATGTTAGCATATTATGTTCTTTCATCAAACTGTTCTTGTTGGCCAATGGCCTTGGTTCCTTCCAATACCGCATAAACACACACTAGGACAGCAGCTCGGAGCCAACTTAGTTCATTTGAAAATGACATGCAAGGCTGGGGTTCCAATTATATACTGAAAAGGTGCGCGCCGTTGTAGCGCGTTGTGTATTCATGTTGTGAGCACAATGCAAATCAACTCTCAGTCTCTTCAGTGACTCTTCAGTCTCTTCACCTTGGAGAGGACAACAGTCGTTGTGAGGAAGAAACTCCACCACCAAATCAACGCCAGAACTGGAGCGACATTCTTCCTCTGCGGCAGGCTGTGCATGTATTTTTGGCCCAACAAAGGCAGCCTAGCAGTGCATCTCTTCTGGGCAAAGAGCCAAATTGCCAAACTATGAACTATGAATACTATGAATGAAACCAAGTATATGCGGAGGTGTTGATATGTGAAATCTGCATCAATATTGCGTTGATCAAACTCTTGGAGCTAGCTGTGCATTCAAAATCCGCAATTTCTAATCCACTTAGCAGGTCGAGTAGCTATCGGCGAATTGCGGGTCAAAATCACATGCTTGCATGTAAAAAAAATGCGCAATCTGCAGTTCTGCACGTCTCAACTATTGTCCCCAATCTAAAATGGGTATTGATACATAGTCAGAAGGGCAATTCACGATGACGAAGAGGAGAACCTACTTTCGCGAAACTTTCCCAAGACGGACGAAGCAACCGGCACAGAAGCAGCAACACCGGGAGTAATCCTGTCGATGCCTCAAGTGAATTGTCGACTATGCACCGCGTTCTGGAGTTGCAGCTACCAGGAGGGTCTTGCTTGAAGTCGGGGAGCTGCACAGCTATAGAGATATCAAGTGAGCCTCCCTCCACCTCTTGGAGAGCAGGGTAAAGTCGGGTAAAGAATACTCATCGCGCCTCCAAACTTTCATCTCCGGGACTGGGGCCTCTATTGGGTTTGCATCGGCTTGAGGCAGTGGGGCACAGACACGCTGCATCTTGCTGTCACTGCGTTTGCACTGACCTGTGGTGGACTGTTGGCAGGGAAGGTGCAGCATCTCTTCAGCACCTCTTCCCCATCAAACCAACTGGCGCATGTTCGTCGATGTTTTGTCTTCATCATTGCGGTTGCGGTTTGGAGTTGACCTACAACTCAAAGCCCCGATGATGTGCCGACCCTAACAGGAAGCGATTTAAGCGGCTTCATTGTGGACCTATGTGAACACAGGGCGGATTTACCCGGCTGAACCTGGTTCTCCTTTCAAATTTTGAAGGTTTTGAACTCGAAAAGTATAAAAAGTTGCCAGGTATTTGTGCAGTCGGAAAGTCGAACACTTTTTGATTTTGAAACGTTTTGCATTTTTTTGTAGTCCGAAAGTCAAGTATTGTTTGATTCTTCTGTTTTTTGTCAAGAGGTCTAGCCTGTGCTCGTTCTGTCTGACAATACGCTACCTCAACACTGCCTACGTGCTACTCAAAGACTGATACGGGCGCCCCAAGATCATCACCCTGCCGAACCGCAGCCACGGGGACTTGTAAGGGATGGGGTGGGCATGCAGTTGGAAAGCTGGACCGCAGTTTTAACCATGATACATGCCATACACGTTTGCTAATATTCTTCAGAGGCAAGCCTCAACACAGTGACGCTAGGTGCTGGTGAGTGGGGGGCCATGTGCAAAGCATGCTGTTCAGGAAAGCATCATGGCCGCATAGTCGAATTCACCCAAAAGGACTTGCGTCAATGTGATGATGGATCCACCGAACGTAGACCTGGCACTGCGCCAGGGTCGATTGCCACAAAAAAATATCTGAAAGCAAAACTTCTTCAGAGCCCGGCATGCCACATGCCATCTTTGACTGCCCAAAATTCGAACTGTCTGGAATGATTGATAGATGCCCCTGAAAGCGGTTCTGCCGCAGTTCTGCCCGTCTAGTGTGATGCAATCATCGCCGCAGGGCGAACACTTTCAAAGGCACATGCCGTCAACTTGGAACCCTCAAACAAGGCTCTCTTAAACAAAAACTACGTGCTCCTAGTTGAGAGTTTCAATCCAAGAAACCAATCGCGAACTTGCTCCCCGAAAAGTATGTAGCCGCTGAGTGCGAAGTTGCCACAAACCACGAGGAACACGACCTTGGCCATGCTTGGAGAAGCTAGAATTACGTGAATGCAACCACGCAGAAAGGCGTATAACGCACACCAAAGCCGCCAAGATCTCCAAAATCCTAAATTAACATCATGCGTGAATGCTATGCAAGAATCCTAATCGACAAAATCCCTCCTGCCCGCCACACATGCAATGACAATGATGATGAAGATGACGACGATGACAGTGACGTTTAGGGCAAGGACAACAATCGCAATGCAAACACGACCACCACCACCACCACCACCACCGCCACCAACCGTAACCACAACAACAATGTATAATAAGAGCAAACAACTGGAGCATTGAGAAAACAAACACAGTTTAAAACAAAGAAGGGTGCGACGGAGGAAACAAGGATGATAACAGCACCAACAATAATAAGCTTGCCAGCAATCCGTTTTGCTACTTTTCATGAAAGAAGTCCCACCGTCCACCCCAAGCACAACAGCCTTCAGTTGTTTTATGCATTGCAAGTTGGATCCATCGTCGATCCTTCGGTCAGATTTTCCCAGCATTGTCGACTGGGCTATTTCTGAAGCATGACGTCTAATTCGTTAGACATCAGCTGCGCCAAACCAGCACCTCCCAGTATTTCTTGGGCGGGCGGGTGTGGATTTAAAAGGAGGTGAAGGGTTGGAGGCACATAACCCTTTCAGGGTTCCTTTGTAGCCAAAATGGCCAACGGTTCATGTGCAATCCGCTACTACTTGCTTGTCACTCTGGTGAGTTCTCAAGCAATCCGTTTTGCTACTTTTCATGAAAGAAGTCCCGCCGTCCACCCCAAGCACAACAGCCTTCAGTTGTTTTATGCATTGCAAGTTGGATCCATCGTCGATCCTTCGGTCAGATTTTCCCAGCATTGTCGACTGGGCTATTTCTGAAGCATGACGTCTAATTCGTTAGACATCAGCTGCGCCAAACCAGCACCTCCGGGAACTTTCTCGTGCAGCTCTCTGACCTTCTCGCATTTGATGCATCTGTGTGCTGAGGCCGGTGGGATCTTTGACAGGGTCACCTTTACCGCCCGCTGCGCAAAGTGCCACCCGCAAGCCGTGGACCACTCGTTCAAGTCCGTCTGCCACGCAGCCCTTGTAACCACGTGGGTTACTTTCTTCTTGCCTCTCGTCTGGGAGGTTGCCCAAAGCTGCAGATCCTCTGGGTCCTCTGGTATCCGGATGGGACACGGGGTGCCCGGTGCCGGCGCGGGAGTTTGCGGCGCCAGAATCCCGTTGGGCTTTGCCTCGTTGACCTTGTCGGGGCTTCCCGGGGGAGATGATTTCCCGGTCGGTGTCCTTGGTGACCTTGCCTTGCTCTCGGTCAGTGTTGCCGTCCATCTTTCCAAGGACTGTGTGTGGTTGATGACCGAACCCTTTGCCTCGTCCTCCGTCATGTCCTTCAATCTCGCGTTCATTGGTCTCTCTTGCAACGCTTCCTCCATGTAACGGAAAACAGCTGAGCTTTTCCACCGACCCAAGAATGAGATGTCCTGCACGTCCATTCCTTTTCTTGTGTAAAACATGGCACCCGAGCGCCTTGCCGAGTGACCTGTAAGGCCGCCGTCCAAGTACTTGGCCCAGCACTTCGATGTGTGGGCCCTGGTTCTTTTCCCTCTCCCTTGCATAGAGAAGAGGAAGTCCGTGGCCTTGCCATTGGGCTTCTCGGCGAGCGATCTCACTGCTAACGAAAACGGGCATTCCTTCGTGCACTCCGATCTCTTGCAGCATGCCAGTGTCCTGACGGTGCCCTTCGCAGCTTGGTCTGTTTTCGACTTCCTGATCTTCAGGGCCACCGTCTTTGTCTCCCAATCTAGGGCCAAGTCACCCATCCTCAGTTCTGTTGCTTCACACGCTCGCAGCATCCAGGGGACGGCCATTGCGTACATCCACGCCGGCCTCGTGTACGCGCCCTTGTCCAGGCACTTCATATCCCAGGCTTCCTGGCTCAGATCGGCTATTTGTACTTCTTTGGCTCTTATTTCGGGCCCTCGGTGTCTTTTCAGCGCCCTCTTGCACAAGTACAGCTGTCTCTCCAGGGGTGAGCTCCACTCGAAGCCCGCCTCGACATGCATTAATTCTACCTCGTGAAGGTATTGGTCCCCCGACTGCAACTGTGCCTCATCCAGCGCCGTGGCAACGCTCAGAATTGCTTCCTGGGTCGCCGGGAAGTGTTCCTCCCCTACCGTCGCCACCAGCAATTCCCTCACCTTCTTTCTTTTGGCGTTCTTTGCCAGGAGCGTCCCGTATGCGAGGAACTTCTTCTTGAACGTTTCCTTGGCTTTCCTCAGGTCGTTCGGCGCCTTGGCGAGCTTCAGGGCGTCTCTCATGCCCGATTTGGATTTGTCCAGCCTCCCGTTCCCGGGCTTCCTCTCGCCACTTCTGTCATCGCCCCCAAGACCGACATGCTGTGACTGCTCCTTCCCAGCCTCCTTCTCGGTTGCTGGCTCCCTTGGTCTTTTCGGCCAAGTCCTGCGCTGGTCGAGGTCGTTGTCCTTGGTGAGGGCGACCATGCCATCTCCGTCTCTGGACTCCTCCTTGGTCTTGTTACTGGCGAGCTGACTGACAGTTTCCTTGTGTCGACGCCTCTTGGCAATCTCATTGTTGACGGTGACGAAGTGTCCAGTCTTGAGGAGACTCCTGGCGTGCGGGTCGTCGGTGACCCCTCTTCTGGAGTTGCCCTCGTTGAACATTGCCTCGAACCCTTGCCGCCCCTCCATAGTCTCATCTGGCACAGCCGCGGCACACATTGCCTGTAGCACAGACACCCTAGGAGGAACGATATTCCTAGGGACCACAGCCAAAGGTGCAGCCAGGGGATCACCAGGGAGGGCTTTATCGGCTCCACTACGCTTACGACCCATGACGGAGCAGGTACAAGGGACATCGAGTCCGGACGTCCCCTCCCGCCCCTGGGCCCTGTGTGATGTCTGCTTGAACCTCAAGCTAATGACAAGAGATCTCATGCTCCATGTGCCAAACTCACACACGGGAGATCCCCTGAAAACTTTAAAAAATGACTTTCAATTGCCCCAAACTTGCAAGCCCCCGTTGAAACGACAATTAACGAACCCTTCAGCCGCCCCGTTTCAGCCGTGCTTTTCAGCTGTCCTTAATTGATCAAAGCTGAATCTGCTCACAAGTTGTGAAACACCGACACATTGTGTGGCGGGATACCTTCCCAGGGGCTGTTTTCCGCCCCCAGAGGTTGCAAAACAAAATCATCTGCGCAAATCGGGGCTAGTTGCTTGATCTTGACCTTGCGCAAGTTGGCTGGTATCTCGGGGTCTCTGTCGTGGGCCCGTGATAGCCAGTCTGGCTCCACGTTGAGAACACCAGGTATGTGCTGTGTGACCACCCTGATGACCCCGTACTCCTCCAGCCTGATTGCCAGCTCTCCCCCCAGATGGTTGAGCGGGGGGGAAGAGCTCGACAGCTGCCTCGTCATGGCCAGGGCCACCACGCTGTCGCTTCGGATGAAGATTGCCCTGTGCTGCAACCTCGTCCTCCACAATTTGACTGGCACTCCCTGGCTCGATGATTCTCCGTGATCAACACCAAGGAGTTTTGCCTCTGTCTTGTTGAACTTTGCCTCGAAGGCCTCCACCACGTAGAGCGTGCCGTCGTGGGGGGCCACTGCCACCAGCACTGCCCCCAATCCCAACGGAGATGCATCTGAGATGATGCCAATGGTGACGGGTCTCTCCAACAGGTCTTCTCTCCTTAAGGTGAATCTATCCACCCTGGCCAGGGCTGCAATCAGCCACCTCAGCGTGGCTCCAAAGCGTTTCACCGCCACCAGACCGTATTTGGGCCTTTGGTCCTTGCGGCGCTGTGCCCTTTCTTCTTCGAGGCCCGTCTTCTCGTCTTCCTCCGCGTCACGCAGCACTGCAAAGAAGACAGACACCGCCCACCTCAGTCGCGGTAGGATGCCAGCCACCCAACTGAGCCGACCCGTGGTACTTCGTAGCTCTCGGTGCGACACCATCCCACGGTCCATCCAGCCCATTAGGGTCTCCAACAGCTCGTCCATCATCTTCTTTGGTGCGGCGTACGTGATCGAACCCTTCAATGGGCTTTCGGGCCATTGCAGCAGCATTTTCACACCTATCCACTGCACTTGCTGACCTCGCTCCCCCTTGTTGAGGGCGATCTGCACTCCGAAGGCCCTCATCGTGTACAGCCCCAGCGCAATGAGGTTCGCCTTTTCCTCTTCGGTGCCATTGATGAGGGTCAGCACGTCGTCGACGTAGATCTGCATCTGGCCCTCCGTCGGCGACATCAGTGATTGCCACAGCCTTCCCACTGCTGCACTCAGCCTTCCCATCAGCAGTGGGGCTGACTTGAATCCGAACAAGAGTGCCCGGAAAAGGATGGCCTGGTCGCTCCTGTTGCCCGGTGCCAGACAATTGGGCAGCTCGTCACGGCAGACCGGGAAATGGCAGAAGGCGTCTTGCAGGTCGTACATCACAAACTCCGCCGTCCTGCCATGGTTGTCCCCCTCATTCTTTGCCGCCATGTCTCGCGCCATCTTGGTGACATCCACCACCCTCGGGAGGACTATCCTCTCGGGTGTCACCGTGCGCCCATTGCCTCCAGACCGGAGCAGGTCCACCACCACCCGGCGCTTGATGCTCCCGTCGGCCTTTGTCTTCAGGATCAGCGCTAGTCGGCTAACTGTGCCTCTGTCGAAATGGGACTGCACCTCGTCCCAGTCCATCAAGATGGCAAAGCCCTTCTCCACGTACCTCTGCACCTCGATCTCTGCGTCCTCAGGTGCATCTATGAAGCTTTTGTAGTTCGTCACGTGGGACTGCATCTCGATCTCCGGCGCTTCTTCTGTCATCTCTGGGGACGTTTCGCCCGACGCTGGGAAGACTCCATTGGACAGCGGTATCGGCACGTTCATGCCCAAGGGGACTCCGCTCTCTGCCCATTCAGCGACGTGATAGTCCGGGTCACCTGTGGCTTTGAACCATCCTCTCCACAAGTCGATGTTCAGGGGGCTTTTGAACATCAACTTGTCTGTCAACGTCAAGCCATCCCTTGGGGTGACCTCCAAGATCGAGGCAAGCTTGATCTGCCACTCCATGGCCAGGGTCTCGTCGTACTGTGCCTCCGCAGATCCGTAGGCCTCTCCCAGTCGAAGAGATGTTGGTTTCTCTTTTGCGAACTGTTCCCAAGCCAGCCTGATCTGCTTGCCCACGTTCTTTACCTTCCACAGCCGCTTGACGGCCCCCAAGGGGTTTCTCATACCTCCCACGCAGAACTCATTCTCCGCTTCCCTCTTCTGTCGCTTTGGCGTTTGAGTTGATGACTTAGGGCCGGACTCCTTCTCCGGGTCCATGGTCACGGTGGCTGTCGGCTTTCGAGGCTCCAAGAAGACTTCTCCCACATGGCCCACTCTTCTCGTGCCCGTGGTTCTTTGCCTCTCGGAGATGCGCCTCTCTTCGTTCTTGAGCCACCCCGTCTTCAGCGCGGACACCTCCTCGGATTTCTGCACCAGCTTCCAACGCCAGAACTCCAAGTCCAGTGTCCTCTTCCATGAAGCCACATAGTTTGGCCACCTCCGAGCAGAGCTTGTCTGGGTAAACTCCCGCTCTGACCGTTGTGCCTTTTCCTTTAACCGGCACATGTTTCACCCATGGGGGGCACCTGCACACCTTTGCCAGGGACTCCAAGTTCTCCAAGCGCCCAGCCCACCTGCCTGGTTTGAAGAACCTTTCCTTCCCATCCATATATGTGCAGGTGTTGGAGTCTGCCATGCCCGCGCCCGTAGATTCCAGTGCTTCTTCAACTTCCTGAAGCATCCAGGCGCTACCTGCGGGCCCGGTTTCATCTCCAGGGGGGTTCTCCACCGTTGCAGCCTGTGGTACTCTCCTGCTCCTTTGCGACCATATCTGCTTTTGCATGAGCCCCAGAGATCTCGTTGCCATCAGTGTTCCATCATCGGCTTCTTCTTGCTGTTTCGGGCTGTTGGACGGCAGCCCATATGGAAACTGCCTTGACCGCACTGGTCCTGGCATGCCAGCTGACTCCACCCAACGCACCCTGCTGAAGCTTCCGCATGGAAACCCTGCATGAAATCCGTCATAGTTGCCCTGGGTGATCCTTTTCTCGATCTCTTCAACCGCCGGGCCCTTTCTCAGATCCATGGACTTGTCCATCTTTATGTCGACGCTGTCCACGCTGACCTTCAGGCCTGCTTTTGCCCCCTCCTCTTTCAGGGCGGCTGCTAGCCTGTCATTGGGGCCACTGAACAGGTGCAGGAAAGTGAACACCCTGCCTTCCCTGAATCTTCCAAAGTCGCTTGCATCACCAAGGGCAACTTTGACTCTATCTGGAATGGTCGCAGTCTTGGCCGTCTCCAGCAACTGCTCTGCCGCGGACGTCACTTGCTCCTTTGCCTCTGTCGACTCATCCGTCCCGGCGGGCTTTGTCTCTTCCGCGGCCGGGTCAGACGAGCTATCAGATGACTCCGACAGCACTGACATGTTCGATCCAATGCACTGCAAATGTGAAAGACAACATGCGTGAACCTTGAACCTACCTGTGCAAACGTTCAATTCACAACCAAGTCGTCCTATCACAAATCAGACAAATTTACAAGTAAATCAACTCTCAAATCACTTAAAATAAATAAACAAACAAACTCTGATTCACAAAATTCAAGCAACGGCCAACCTGGGTTTCGAACAGCACTGTTTCTCATGCGCTCACTTCGAAGTGCACTTCGCCTCTTGATGGCTCGGCGACAAGCAAATCCTACATTTGTGGACTCGCTTCACCGCGCCAAGGCACTCCGACCCAGGTCCTAAGTGGCCGCACGGACTGTTGCCCGCGCTCCACGAGAAGCACAAAGGCTTCCCACTCTGATCCTTGGTCTTCCCCTTGGATTGGCCTTTGCCCTGGGAAGACTTTACCTCCGAAGTTCCTTGGCTGCTCTGACTGCCTCTCCAGCGCTTGAGTTCTTCTCTGTCTTCAAACATGCGGCGTTTCTTCGCCTGCCTCTTTTCTCGGTTGACTTGAGCTCTTCTCTCGCCCTCGTCACCCGTTGCCTCCGTTGCGCCCTCGTGGTTGCCAGCCATGTGTGCCTGCAGGGCTGCTTCTGACGCCACCACCGGTTTGCCTCGGCTTCCAGCTGCTAGCCACGCCGCCGCTGGGTGATGAACGTTTTCTGCCCAGTACTCTGTGTCCTGGATTGCCATCTCGAACACTGCCGTCCAAGGTTTTGCAGGGTCCCAGTTGATCGGCGTCTGCCTTCCCAAAGCCGCGGCAGTTATGATTCTCCTTCTCCATCTCTCCAGCCCTTCTGCCCTCATCTTATCTTCAGCCTGAGCAATGAGGCCCCAGCAAAGAGGCCACTGGGTGACTAGCCTCTCAACGAACCTCTCGTAGCTCGTCAGGGCCGCCAGCGTCGAGATGTTGAGCATCAATGCCGCCGACTTGAACACCCGCCAGCATCCAAGCCACATCTGAAAATTGACAGGGCCAGGCAACTCCTTGCTGAGGAATGACCCGTCCCCCAGTGGAAAAACTGTCCTGTACTTCTGGTTCTTTATCGTGCGTCTTGCAAAGGGGGTCCAGACACTGAAATCCGTATAGGGCGCACAGTCGTGAACCAGGGTCCTCTTTGCCAGCGCTGCCAGTTGTGAAGCCGTGGGCTCCTCCGCAGGATCAGGCAAGGCTCCCATGATCGTGACGTAGGCCTGCGTCCAGTTGTTCACCTCTTCATTCGACGGTGGCAATAGCTCTGATTCGTCCTGAGCATCCAGCAGTGCTGACATTTTCAAAACTCTCTCTTTGATTGATGCCGTAGTGGTTACTACTGACGACTGACCTCCTTGCCCATGTCGACTGTTGCCTCCATGCTCCGACCTAGCCTCTGTTTGTTCACCCCATGGATCTATGTCTACAAATTGGTCCTCGCGTAGTCCTGATTTTGCTGCTACCACTCGTCTACTGAGGCGCCAAACCAATCCCACCTGTGTAGCCTGGAGAGGAAGTAGAGGGGATCCATCAGGGAATTGCGCCTGCCCACAGGCGGTCACTACTGCCACTCTTGGCAGTGCACTGAGAAGACGGATGTCGTTGGCAGGGTCCCCCACCTGATCGGTGAACGCCTGCCACACTTGTCTGCCCACGCCCATGGTGTCCTTTATCTCTTGGAGATCCATGAACGTAAGGGCATCAGCCCAACTTCCAAACAGGCTCATCGCGCCTCCACCCTACACCATTTAAAAGGAGGTGAAGGGTTGGAGGCACATAACCCTTTCAGGGTTCCTTTGTAGCCAAAATGGCCAACGGTTCATGTGCAATCCGCTACTACTTGCTTGTCACTCTGGTGAGTTCTCAAAAAAACAACTAGCAACCAAACAAAACAACAGTTGTAAAACAAAACTCCTTGCGAAAACAGCAGCAGGCATTCACCTGAGGCAAACAATGTCAGTCTTGCGGGGCGTTTCTGGCCAAACATGCTTGCAGGACACCGCTGTGCGATGCGCCTGCTGGGCACTGCTGTGAGACATTCTTGGCACACTATCACACACTCTTGGGGGACCTACTTGAAGGTGACTCTTGCAAGACACTCTTGTGGGGACGCTGTTGGACCCTCTTGGGGTTGCATAAAAACCTGGTATCTTTTGAAATGACCCAAAATCACGTTGTCGTTTTTTTCTTTTTACTCTTATCGTGTTCTCAGGTGGTGAGCTCCCTGTAGACAAGAAGTGAGATTTTTCCAGCTTTCTGTGGGTGTGAAAGCATCCTTGGTCGAAAGTCAACAGATGTCATCTTTTGTTTTCATTTCCTTTCATCGCCATTCATTTTGCATTCATTTTGCATTCATGTCCTCTCACGTTCCTTTCATTTTGCATTAATGTCCTTTCATTTTGCTTTCATGTCCTTTCATATTCCGTCGCTATGTATCAAAGATACAGGTCTTCGAAAACTGATATGCTCAAACCGGTCAGGTGGGTATCCGCACAAACACCCGTGTTTTTTTTTCATATTTTGTTATCGTTTTTGTTATCGTTTAGCTATCGTTTGGGAGGCCTATGCAGGTTGCCATCTTCAGGTCTCATGAACATGTACATGTATAAGCTCGCTATCGATTTTTCTTTACTCTTATCGTTTTCTGGGCCGGCAATGCGTTGGCAGTGTTAAGGTGCAAGCCGAGCTAAAATGAAATGCCCGGGTTATTATATATACTATCCCTCTTGTGGAACACTCTTGTTGGACACTCCTGATGGAGACTCCGTGTGGGGCACTGTTGTAGACTGTTGCGAAACGCTCTTGTGACAGTCTCTTGTAAGGCAATCATAAAAGGCATTACTGGACTGCTAAAAGGCACTCTTGACACTCTTGTAGGGCACTCTTGTGAACCAGTTTTGCAGGACGTAAAAGAAGTACTGTGCATGCTATGTACAGGAACGTCGACTGCCACTATATAGATCCCCACTCGGCACAGCAGTGACCATGCCGGGAGCAAAAACCACAAAAACCAAGCGTGCTTGCCACACAATCTGCACCTACAGGTTTCCTCGTGCAGCAGGTCCAGCGATAGCAGAAACAATAAGGAAAACATATCGAACGTGATTTCGACACACAAAAAGCCGTGCCTAAACGTCGCAACTTTGTTGGTGTCACAAACATGTTTGACCGGTCCGCACCGTTCCACCCAACGGCCGCGCAAACACAGCAGTTCCACTGCAGTGCCAGTGCCCAAAACAACGCCTCCTGACAATTTCCCTTTAGGCACATGCCCATTTCGGGCGCAAGACTAGGTTAAAGCGTACACGGTCCACCACAACACACAATATCTCCAAGTTATCCCCAATTTAAAGAAAACCCTTCTTTATACTTGTTCGGGGTAAACATGAAGCAACGGAAACCTGCGACAAAACAAACGCAACAACAAACCAGCAACAGGTTTGCAATGAGCAACTGCGAAAGTCACAGAAAACCGGGAGATGGGAAAACGTGGGAAAATGAAGATGGTAAACTGAAAGCAGTGGTCGTTATTGCGGAACCAACAGCACAAATAGGAAAAACACTTCCTTCAGCGAAAAATAATTGTCTTCAAGATCAAACAGCGCGTGGAAAAAAAGAAAAAAATTGGGGACATTCAAAGCACTTACAAGACATGTGCGGACATGGATTAAAATAATATGTCTACTCTATATATATATGTATACATTCACACACAGAAAGAGAAAAGTGAAAAAAATATGGATGTTGCAGCATTGCACGGAAATTGAAGACAACCGTAATCAAACCGCGATAAGCACAGAGGCAAAAAAAAGGCCATAGCACAAAGAACGCTAGCAACAATGGCAAACAAACCAAGAGTACAAGGACAAACCTGAAACGACAAGTATGCCATCAACGACACCGCATGGAGAATTGGCAAAGTTTGCAACCACCCATGCCAAACGTGAAGGCATGACCTTTGAACACACCAAATGCATTCAAGTTTCTAAATAGTGAAGGAAAAGGTTGGTCATGTACATGACCGACTGCAGTATTACCGCTGTGCGTGGTTGCCCGGTGAAACCTCTGTAAAAACGCAAGCAAAGGCATACCTCAGAGGAAAGCAGCGGCTGCAGGATTCTTCATTAAATTTTGCCCGGGGCATCAAAGGATTCTTCAGAGGATACAATGTGGTCATGGTACTGGCCTCTTTAGTGTGCAGTGGCTGCTGCCTTAAACTCACCTGGTGGGGCCAGTGTGTCTGTAACGATGCATTGTGCAACTGTTATGTGCCTCCGTTGCTCCGCAGTTTCTGCGGAATCTTGAAAAGCGGCGTAGTGTGTTGTTGAAGCATCAGGACATGAACGCTAGAAAAATAAATGGCCTCCTGACTTCTTTCACAATTGAAACATATACAATCAAGTTTGGTTGCAGTAGTTTGGCTGATTTATGAGAATCACGACCTTATTGAGACGTTGTATTCGAATCGACTCGCGACGAGAGCCGCCCGCACCCAGGGAATTTGACGGAGAGGATGGAACTGCTAAAGCTGTACCAGTCTGACAGATCTGTCCGGTCGTATCCCTCCCTGCTAAACCACACCTCGGCTCATGATGCCAGAGGCAAGGAGTTGGGTTGCACCCTCAATTACGGGAAGGCAGGAAAAGACTCTGATGCTTTCCAATGCCAGCTCATGTGAGCTACCAGCGACCATGAACTGCGCAAAGTAATGTCAGCGTTCAAGCACTGACTGGGTGTACCCCTTTCAGGGGGCCCTTCAAGTTTTTCCTTATATTCGTGTTCCGTGTTCCTACCCACCCGCAATGGTGTGGGTCCCCCAGCTAGTATCCCAGGCATTTCTATTTGCGAGCTATTTGCAGCATTTCTGAGGTCCAGAATCATATTTACGGTTTGCAGCGTTTCTGACCTCGAGCATCTCATTTACTAGGTGTATGCTAAATTTTAAGCGACTCACATAGTACATATACTCCCTCAAAAGCACCTACGTACTACCTAGAACCAGAAATATCCTGCGTATCTACTTGTTGTTTACTACCTATATTGTCCCGGAACACTACATGTGTTTAACGGTTTAACGTATGTTTCGTGCATACACTTGATATACCAGGTAGTGCCCGGCAACACGCCGGGGCGGAAGTTTCGAAAATAGGATATGGCTGTAGGAACCAGTTTGCTTATAGGATTTCTTGGTGAATTGGAAAGAAGTGAATTGAGATGAAATGCAATGCATGAAATGACTGAGACGAAAAGACATGCCATGAAAAATAAATGGAATGAATGAACGAACGAATGAATGAATGAATGAAGGAAGGAATGAAGGAATGAATGAATGAATGAATGAATCAATGAATGAATGCATGCATGCATGCATGAATGATTGAACGAATGAACGAATGAACGAATGAACGAATGAACGAATGAACGAACGAACGAACGAACGAATGAATGAATGAATGAACGAATGAATGGATGGATGAATGAATGAATGAAATGAATGAAATGAATGAAATGAATGAAATGAATGAAATGAATGAAATGAATGAAATGATTGAAATGATTGAAATGAGTGAAATGAGTTCAATGGGTGAAATGAGCGAAATGAGCGAAATGAGTGAAATGAAATAAATGAATGCAATGAAAGAAATGGCTGAAATGAAAGACATGAATGAGTGAATGAATGAATGAATGAATGAATGAACGAATGAATGAATGAATCAATGAACGAATGAATGAACGAATCAATGAACGAATGAATGAACGAATGAATGAACGAATGAATGAACGAATGAATGAACGAATGAATGAACGAATGAATGAACGAATGAATGAACGAATGAATGAACGAATGAATGAATGAATGAAATTGAACAGAAATGAATGAAATTGAACAGAAATGAATGAAATTGAACAGAAATGAATGAAATTGAACAAAAATGAATGAAAGAAAAATACATGAACGAACAAACAAACGAACAAATGAATGAAATGAATGAAATGAATGAAATGAATGAAATGAATGAAATGAATGAAATGAATGAAATGAATGAAATGAATGAAATGAATGAAATGAATGAAATGAAATGAAATGAAATGAAATGAATGAAATGAATGAAATGAATGAAATGAATGAAACGAATGAAACGAATGAAATGACTGAAATGAGTGAAATGAGTGAAATGAGTGAAATGAGTGAAATGAAATAAATGAATGCAATGAAAGAAATGGCTGAAATGAAAGAAAGAAATGAATGACTGAATGAATGAAAGAAATGAATGAACGAAAGAAGTGAATGAAATGAAAGAAATGAATGAAATGAACGAAATGAATGAAATGAGTGAAATGAGTGAAATGAGTGAAATGAAATAAATGAATGCAATGAAAGAAATGGCTGAAATGAAAGAAAGAAATGAATGAATGAATGAATGAACGAATGAATGAACGAATGAATGAACGAATGAATGAATGAGTGAATGAATAAATGAATGAAGGAATGAATGAAGGAATGGAATGGAATGGAATGGAACGGAACGGAATGGAATGGAATGGAACGGAATGGATTGGAATGGAATGAATGAATGAATGAATGAATGAAGGAGTGAGATGGAAGCGGGGACACCGACGGATGGGAAATCGTGGCGCCTAGCTTGGTTCAGAGCTTTGGTTGGAGGGAGCCAAACAGAAGCGTCCTACAGGAAACGGTTTCCTGTCCGTCCACGATGTCCATGCTTCCGCCTCGCTCCTTTGAAAGGAAGCTCCCTTGTCCGTCCACGGTGTCCATGCTTCCGTCTCTTCTGTCTCGCTCCCTCCAAACGAAGCTCTGAACCAAGCTATTCCCCACGGTTTCCCATCCGTCCACGGTTTCCACGCTTCCGTCTTGCTCCTTCCCAACGCAGCTTTCCGAAGCTATTTCCCACGGCTTCCTGTCCATCGACCATGTCCACGCTTCTGTTCTCGCTTCCTCCCGACGAAGCTCAACCCAAGTTTCCTGTCCGTCCACGCTGATCACTCCCTCCCAGCGAAGCTCACCCCGTAAGC